GGTGGTGGTGGGGGTGGTGGTGGTGGTGGTAATGGAGGGATTTGAACATACATCTTTCGGGTCTCTAATTTTGTGACCCTTATAACATGACCATCACCCTCAGCTAAAATATTTACATTGATTCTACATATGCATACATGCATATGTTTTAGTTTTTACCTAAGCTTTTTAGTCTGAGTCCCAAGTGCCTTACTGATTACCATGCATCCCAACAACCGGTTCGTATTTTTACCCCCTCAGAAAGACTATGATTTTTAGCCGCTTAGAAATTACCCCTTTGGAAAGTGCCTGTCGACGCAAAGAGCTTGGGGCAGAATAAGCTTGGAGGTTGAAAACTGAGTCAGTGTGTCAGTGTTTGTTTAGACCTAAGTGCGGGTCTCAACAAAGTTGAACTGATAATCGTATCGTTCCCCTAAGGGCTCACGGTGTGTGGAAGTGATCAGGATGAAAAATACGAATGAAGTCTAAAACACCTCGACGGAGGCTGAAAACCAAAGGAAACAATGTAGGGTTCAAACGAACAAAAATGCTATCTTCAAAATGCTATCGTTGGGTGTTGACTGTGTTGAGAACGGAATCAATAATCTATCGTCATTTGGGCGGGGTTACCATAGGATCCCCACTCGGCCAGTTGATCGTTGACAATCTTATGATTACACTAAAAAGGAATATACTGAGCTCAACTACTGAGATATAGATATAGATATGGATATATGGATGATGCCTTCCGTGTGACCAATGACAAAAGTGGTATCCCACAGACACTGGAATCATTTAATGAGGCATATCCATCACTGGGATTCATTGTAGAAAATGAACCAAACAACATTGGCCCTTCTAGATGTAGCTCTGTTGAGGAGAGAAGATGTATCAGTGATCCGACAGATCGTGTGAAATACAAAGTTATTCTAGTCCGATATCTGGTCTTCAGAGCCCGGAAGATTTGTTCAGCAGACACAATGGATGAAGAACTACCCTCCTTCCGCCAAACACTGCAAGACAATGATTATGTGGATAAGTTTATTGATAACAATATTTGGCTCCTTTTGGAGAATAAAAACCTCATCTGTGTCCCCAAGAACTTTTCATAGGGACCCAACTTGAGGGAAACTCACACTTAGAGAACCTAGTACAGTCACTAGGAATCGTTGTAAATTCCGACTTCCCAGCAGCCAAACTTAGGCCTCTGTTCTATACATCACCGGTGATGCAAATGCAAATGAAAGACAAACTGCCGTAACTGACATTATCCTTGATAATCTATTCTTTTAAGTGCGTTTGTGAGGTATGGTACATAGGTCGTAAGATAGGGCGATTGTCTCAACGCGCCAAGGAGCACCAACCACGAAGTTCAAGTAAGAGAAAAAAATCGGCTGTGTTTCAAGCGCAATAGTGGGTAATCTCGTCGACACCGAACACAAGATTGAACCAGGAAAAGCATTTGATGTTGTTTATCACATCTCACTCAATTGATCGAGAACGGCCCGAGGCGATCACCATTTGCTTACTATGCCCAGACCTGTGTGCTCAAAAAGGACCGGTTCAAGTGCTTCAGTTGACTTGACCTGGTGTGAAAACAAAAATAGAACATGACGTATAAATTGACTCAAGTGGGGAAAGATCACATCAACTAACATTGTCTTCCACACATACACACACAGACACAAATATATTCTCTGCTTGTAGAAAAAGCATCTCCAACAGCAAAACTGCGTGTTGTGTTCATCTTCAGGCCACTTCTGTGCTTTCAAATCAAAGATAAATTGTATGTCTCTTCCGTCTCTTTCTGCTTGTACTTATTTACCTATCCCTATTGGACAATGTATATTGGTCGCACAAGCAGACGTTTATCTGAACGAGTTCGTGAGTGCTACCCGACCTGGTGGTTGAATAGTGAAGTAATTAAAACCATCAACAACTCGATCCTTTCACACTTAGTGATTAATGTGGCTGAGGTATTTCGACCTCTCTACTGAATTCGCAGCCAGGATTATGAGTCGCATTCTTACACAGCGGAAGCGATCAAAATCCACCTTCAAAATCCCTTCCCCTTGCTCTCCAAAACAATTTGTAAGAACACTCGGTCTTCCATGGCCAACACCACACACACACGACACAGTCATTCCCCCACCCACCCCTAATGACCCAAACAAGTGCGCATGTGTGAAGACCAAAGTGTGAGTAAAATCCGGTCATGGAACTGGAATGTTAATTATTTTCTTTTCCAACTTGTCAATATTCCCCCCTCCCGATTCAACAGTGTGACTTAAATTATGATGTGTTAGTCTGTAGAAGAATCAGCCAAGCGAGCTTGTTGGCTACTCTGTGTTTTCTTACAATGTGTAAAGCTTGATGGGAAAAGCTGCAGAGTCGCTTTCAGCCCTTCTCTCCCGAGACGTTAGCAAAGTATCAGTCCCGTATTGAACACGATGGGATTACAAAACAACTGTCCTGTGGTTATTAAACCATCCTTCCACCTTTCATTTGTTACAGAAGGCCAACTCTCACCAAGGAAACGATGAAATGCGGCAAATACGATTGAAGGTTCTTCTTCTTTTAGAGACAGTGAGCATGAGTATACCTCGCCGAAGCTCGGTGACATGACTTGGATGTGCGTACCTTGCCACCACCGACGCTTGAACATTTTGTCATTGATCTCCTCCACCACGTCTTGCGATAGCATATTACACATGTTGGTCCCCCGACGGGATAGGCGATAACCCAGCAGTAGTCCTACTGAATGCTGTTTCGCTAGGGTCAGTGCATGTCCCCGCGTACGATTATGCTCTCAAAGTGGAAGTATCGCTTGCAGTTCGCAACTCAGATATCCACAGATGATGCATCTGGTGTAGATTAAATCTATTCTTGTCTGTCTGTAAGCTAATGGAAACAATCCTGTGGCCTGTAGGCGTCCTTCGTAGTTAATTCCGGCAATGAGGCGTGTGACACTGGGCTGTACGCGTTCCAGCTTCTGTGCTTCTGTCTTTGTGCAAGGAAACGATGCAGGGCCACCGTATTTCAATCTCTGGAGCACATGAGAGGCGTACAAAACTTTGACGGCATTCAGGGAAAGTCCACCACGTATGGCTCCCAGTATTGAGTAACGTTCGAGAAAATTAGGTTATGCAATTTGCACCCCGTTGTACTTAGAGAATTATGAACAGAGATCCAATCGATTATCCAGACTTGTTCATAATTTGTACAGGTAGAGTCCTGTCCGATTGCGTGTGTTTGTAAAATCATTACTATAGCTCGGTCGCGGACGTATGTTTATTGTTGCACTGCTCTATTATTATGTAATACCTCAAACCCAAAGGAAAAATTACGTAGGATTCATGTTTACCGTGACCAGAAAGATGGCATTTCAAATTCTTTATTTTCACCGGGTCCAGTTGGATGACCTGAGCAAATTTGCCCAACCAATCAAAATAGTGGAGCGTATGATCAACCAGAACACACATGACGAGATAGCACAAGATTTCAAATACTACGAGGACCCGTCGGATGAGTTTCGTGATCAGCATGGAACTCTTCTACCTCTCTGGATGTTCACATTTGAAAAATCCAAGAAGTTGGCTGTCACCGCGCTCTGTTGGTCACCACGTTACACGGATCTGTTTGCAGTCGGGCATGGATCATGTGAGTTGAGCTGTACTTCATGCATTACCTAAACCGTCATTACGGCGGGGGGGGGGGGGGGAGNGGGAGGGGGGGGGGAAGAACTGAGTTATTTCTTAGTTGTCGGACTTCTTCAATCATTTCAGTTCAGTTTCAGTTTCCTACAGCCACTTAACTGTGCACTTTTATGCGCCGCTTTTGATTGCTGTCTTTCGGCCACCCATTGGGATAAACAGTAGGAGGAAGACAGGAAAGTTGAACGCAGAACAAAAGTGAAAGTGGAGAATTTCAATAGACTAAGATAGCAAAGAAATTAATAAAATGCACGATCGACACAGTCATATTACTCAGTGTCTTTGACCACCTGTTACAATCATCCCGAGGTCCCAAGGTACGTAGCCTAACGGGACCTATGTGACCCAGTGTCCGCATTGGGGTTTTCATAACCTCGTTCCAGGTCTCATTTTAACCACCTTTGGCTCTTCCCACCCACTACTTGCCTCTATGAACATCGTTCGTTGTGGCAACCTATTTGGTGACATGAGTAACTCATGTCCCAACCAACGTAATCTATAGTGATTGACCACCTACTCTAGTTGGCGACCGCGGTTACCTAAAACCTAACCTAAAGTCTAACCTCAGCATTGCTTGTCCGGTTTCAACGGAGCAATGTTGCAGTCTCAAGTGTGTTCTGTACATCTGACCGAGATTAAAATCCAGTGATCAATTTAAAACAGAATCCCAGTCGTTTATAAGAAAGACTACCATAGACACATTTCGTCTCATGAGTTTAATTTATCAATGCATTGAGAAGACAAATGTTCGAGAACTATATTCAGTTAGTTTATTTTGTTCGTTTCCTTGCTTCTTACCGCAAGTTAAATTATTTGAACATCAATCTGAAAATACGATGGAAACGTCTGTGATAACCAACAAAGAGCACTGGACTGCTGTTTCGTCCCGTTTGGGACTCCTTAGCAGTGCGTGTCCCTGTCAGGACTCGAACCGCGAACAGTCAGGTTGGTGATGATATTCAAAGTGTCAGATCCGAACAACGTTCGGAGTGTATCGAAAAATCGATGCGCCATGTGATGTTTTATATAATTTTTAATTTTGAAAACACAGCGATGTCGGTACAGGTGAAAATAAGCCGACGTTTCGGTTACCGTGGGCAACCTTTATCGAGGCGATTCGATTGTAAATTCGTCTTGATAAAGGTTACCCACAGTAACCGAAACGTCGGCTTATTTTCACCTGTACCGACATCGCTGTGTTTTCAAAATTACAACTTATATAGATATCGGGTTGGGACTTCAAACCTTAACCCTGGGCTAGGTCGACGGCTACCACCTTGTGCGAATGGCTCAATCAATTTTAGGGTATCAAGCTTGGATTAACCCATTCGATTGTTCAGAGGCACCAGGCACTCTTGATGGACTTCGTGTGGGTTTCACTTCTTGAGAGATTGTTAATTCCCCTCGAGGTAAATGCATTCAAATACGATGATTCGAGTCCTGATAGGGACATAAAGAGTACGCACTGCTGATCAATCCCAAACAGGACAAAACAGTTGTACTCTTTGTCGGACATTACAAATATTTCCATCGCATTTGAATGCATTTACCTCGTGGGGAATTAACGATCTCCCAAGGAATAAAACCCACACCAGAAATGTCGAAACATTTGACACTAGTTTTGTCACAGGTTTTATGCCATTCCAACGTTTACGGAAACTTGTAATCTACACGTGCCTTGATCAGCGACCTATTCTGGTTCCCGAGTTCCCAGTCTGAATTTGATTTACAGTGCGATTGCTCCATCGTTTCACACTGTCTTACCCCTCTCTCCCGTGGCCTCGAACAAGTCTTAGGCAGACCGAGTGCCATCACCACACGGATGGTCTGTATGTTACAAAGAGTACAAACTAGAAATCAGACAGTCTCGTGTTGAGGTGAGGGATTCCGGGTGCCAGATCAGATCACAGAGAGGGTCAGGGAGAGTTTACTTGTTCGAGGTCACGGGCGAGAGGGAAACGATAGAGCAATCGAACTGTACAGACTGCAACGCGTTCCTTGCGTGCATGTGTCCTGCTTGATTAATTGACCAATGATGCCTGATACCCACGCACACACGCACGCACGCGAACTAAACCTATCTCATGATCATGTGAAACGAAGATGCATAAGAGTTGAAATGAGTCATTTGAACAAAGTGTTGGACAAGTGAGTCGAGTGATTTGTGTTTGGTTAGGGGTTGAGGTCAAGTAAGATGAGAAAATTGGATATGCGGTGAACTGGACCAAACGATTTGGTCTTTGATCTTACTTGACCTCAACCCCTAACCAAACACAAATCACTCGACTCACTTGTCCAATAATTCTATTTCATTATTTATCGGCTCCAGCCAATCGGGTGTTAGTATTTGACTCGCCACGCTGATTAGTTCGCTGATTTCGTCTGCCCAGCTTGACGGCTTTCGGATGCCAAATGCCTGCCTACGTGCCTACTCGTTCCTCGCTCTTGCTGGCCCACCGGCCTACAGACCCTCAACATGTGTACCTTCCACAATAAACCTACTATCCTGTTCACTGCGTGCCTATTTACCCACTTAAAACGGTGTGCAGCCCTCTCTACTCGGGTGTCCAGACGTATCGTCATAGACCATCAGTGTATTTCGTACTTCTAACCCTCTGATATTTCACTGAGTGATTCCATTCTTGCATAATCATCGAAAAGTCCGGGTCGAAAGGAATTTAAAATTTAGTCTAGGGGTAGGGAACGCACTGGTGACACTACGTTCTTTTCAGTAATTCATGCACCTTAAAAGCGTCATTTAACACAGAATGCTTTGTATACAACCAATTTGCAAACGATTAAATTTCCTGAAGAGCAAAATACTGTGGCATGAATGTAATGTACAAGGTGCACACTGAACTGGTTCTCCCAATGGGATTGATTCTCCGAACTTTGCTGTTCATCGGAAAACCAAAGCAAAGTAGGAGATGCATGTGACACTGTAGTTCTAGTGTGAAAATGTCACTCAGTTGTTTGATAATTTTGTTATCCTTGTAGGTTATGCTTCACAGTACTTATTGTGCCAGCATTCTCTGATAATATGAGAACATCTAAAGGCAACGTGACTAATTTATATTAATTTTTTTTATTTGTTCCCTAACCACGTGACATGGTCTTGAGGATTCTATTTGTGATAACGCTTTATGCGACAACCGACACAGAATACTAGATAGCTGTTTCTTCCTTTGTTTGAACTGGTGTTCCAGCCAGGACTCGATCTGGGGACTCTCGGATTGGGAATCTAAACCCTTACCATGGAGCTACACGATTGACAATCAACATCTTAAGTTTTTTAACTAAAACATTAATAAACATTATTTGTGACGTAACCCGTTCGACTTGTGCAGCCATGATGCAGCGTTGTACGGTTCAAAGTAAACAAAAGGACTCTGGTTCGTCTCCCCCTAATAACACAATGAAAAAATACCACCAGTTTGTAAGATCTACCTTTGCATGCACTGAGTATAAAAGGAGCCCAGTGATTAATTGAGAACATTTTAAAGAAGATCGATTTTAAGAAAACGTTGATGCAGGTTTTTTTCACCGCTCAACAGAGACACAATAGCTGAGATCCTACAAAGGTGACTAGCCAAGACTGTTGACATAGTGCGTCACGTATCAAAACTCCATATGTCGTTCACGCCAAGGTCAACAGTTTTTGAGACCAAAAGGACAAAGGGACTGGTTCTGTCGTCCGATTGACTAGTTCTTTGAAACAGTTTTACAAGGGCTACGGCTTTTATTGGTGCTACAGATGCGCAAAGGACTATTTGCTTCCAACTGGGCTGTCATAGGCGTCATCCTAAAGCAGATGAAATCGTGAGATACATGTTTTGTCTCCTTTAAATAATCGGACTATTAGATTTGGTTTCCTATCTTCAGCCGTACTGAGAGCTCAATGAAATTCTCTGAAGGATCTCATTTTATGATTATTTCCATGATAAAGTTCCCGTCTTCCTAAACGCTTTATTTTGTATAAATAATAATGAACCACTTTCTCTATTTGAATCTCCGTTCGTGTACATTAGATGATTTTCTAAAGCAATCAACTGGTCTTATTTGTTTCTACACTTTGAAAAACCCGGAGTATCCGGAATATATCTTCGAAACGGAATCCGGCGTATTGTCACTGGATCTACATCCCGCATTGCCGCACATGCTTTGTGTGGGTTTCTACGATGGAGCTGTCGGTGTGTATAATATTAATCAGAGAAAAACCGGACCGTTGTATTTGAGCACAGCAAAAACTGGAAAACACACAGATCCCGTCTGGGAGGTCCGGTGGCAGCCAAACGATTTGGACGCAAACTTGAATTTCTTTTCCGTCAGTGCAGATGGAAGGGTCACATCATGGACTTTAGTGAAGGTATCTATCCAAACCGGGCGTGTAGTTTTGTCGGATTTTTTTCACATACTGCATACCAATCATCTGCTATTCGTTGTTTATTCAAATAAATACGTGCTCCCAGATGCTCGTGAGATAAGTATGTGGTAAGCAGTTCATTATTGCCGCATAGGAGGTTAACAATACCATTTTAAGAAGCCCAATCGAAGGATAATTATTTATGATAGTGAAAATTGCTTGTGATAACGAAGCAAAAGTTCCACTCACTAAGAGGTGTGTGTTAAGTAAGGTAACAATTAGCTCAACATCTATTTGCCTTCTGCTCTTGTCAACTCCTATTAACGACCGATAAATGTGAAGTCAGTCTTCAGGAGGAATTGGTCAATCAAACGGCTTCCATATGAAACTATGATAAGAACCAATCAAGTGACGGTTATGGGATTCAAACACTTGACTTCCGACGCAATATGATAGCAACTCATATGACCTACATCCCTGCTTCTTATTGAAAATGCTCGGAATTAAGAAACATCATATACTTGGTTGACAAAATATCAGTCCTGTATAGATACACGGCTAGATAAATTGTGAACTGCAATCAAAACAAAATACTTTGAACCGTGAGACAAATAGATTTGGATACATCTCCAAATGATGGATTTTCAGGTCAGGTTTTGCTTCGGCTTGACATCCTTCATTGTTCCGGAATGGAATCGAAAGTAAAAAGAAAACACATGAAGGTCTCTTCTGCGACTTTGGCAAACAGATGGATTGTAATAGCACTGCCGTAGTCTCCTTCGTGCTGACATCACATCCTGCCACGATAAAGTAATGCGGACTTGACAGCGCTAACTTGAACCCAAAGGTGATGCGCGGGACATTCGAAAGTCCATGGCCAATGTGTTTGTAATATTCAGAATATGAATCTAAATCTAGTAGGGCGAACTCGGTATCGGACTGAAAACCCACTGAATAAAGCAAAGTCAGGTAGAACCAAGACGAGTTGTGGATACAGTTAATTCTATTAAGAAAATCATGGAAATATATATTACAAGAAACAAACAATGATTGGTCGATTCTTGAATGTCCAATCGACAAGGATATGGTTTACCTGTTTGCCTTCTTGAACTCAGCCAATCCGGATGATACCAATTGAGACCACAGGGTTGGTCGGTTATCCCGTTTCTTGATTGGTTACCTGGAAGCTGTACCGCGGTGCGTGCGTACTCGTTACACGCTTGGAGCTCCACACAAACAAGGTTGCCGCATGATCCGCTATTGTTATTAGTTCAACAGAAGTTTGTCCTGCAAATTCACACAGATAACATGTATTTGTTTTGTTTGAATCAGATTGTTCCAGTTTTCGGTTTCAGTTTTCACAACCAATAGTGTGATGAACATTCATACGGAAGTTTTTTGGTTTCTGCCTCTTGGCCACTGATCTGGACGAATGAGTGAAGATTGTAGTTTTTAAATCAGTATCAGGGTGAAAACCGTGAAAACCACGTGCAGTGTTGGGCCCGATGGTCTTTCATCTTCCTTATCTCAGTGAATGTCTCTTTACATTACCACGCTCTTCTTTCCCATCTGAACCGGTATCGATTGATTCCGAACCAGTATCCCGGGGAAAATGTATAAAATACCTGGGCGTTTTTATTGATACTAATCTTCACTGGACTTCTCACATTTAACACATCGTCAGTAAGCTTCGACGACTTTCTTTTCATATCCGTAAAACTCGTCAGTTTCGTATTCCACAACCAATTATTTCCAAATTTGTGTACCAGTGTGTTTTCCCTGTTTTACTCTATTGTTCACCTGTTATTTTTCCCAACCTCCTTAAGAAAGATTTTAAGTTGTATCGACGTAGATTGACCATCATTAACCGTGTCTCTTCAATCCCACTAAAGGAGCTGATAACTAACCTAAGCGAACGTCATTTGAATGCATGTGCAATGTTTGCGCATAAGATTCTCACCGACTCCACACATCCGCTACACGCTTCCTGTTGTTCCCATCTATCAACTAGATTACAATATCTTTGTGCTTCCTCTAGAATAAACATTTATCGTAACTCCACAGTACCCTCATTAGCACGTATTCTTGTAAGCAACGAACAGGTTTTCACAGACTTTGTTATCAGTTTTGGGATTTAACTCTCTTTTTCAATTGTTATTTTTATTTTCTCCCTTGCTCCAAACTGTATATTTTTAACTGAAATGTGGGCTTCATGCTTGCAGAAGTTATTACAATACAAAATAATGAATTCATGAAGATTAAGGCTGCAAAGACAATGATCAGATGCACGCTCGCTATTGTTTACGACACCCAGCTATATCACTCAGTGTCGTTAAGCATCGGTTATGATGATCCCTATGTTTCCTGGTTATGGTTTTCATATCTTCATGCCAGATCTTAGCTTGACCATCCACTACTTTCTGTCACCCTGATGATCTCTTAAATGGTGGTGCGCCGGAATTAGAGTAATCGTAAAATTTACCAAAACCGACAATACGCAAGTGGTTTTATAGAGCGCGTACCATTTTTAAAAACTGACCCACTTGAGCTCAGTGTGCTCAAACCGATAGCTTCAGCGTTCACTTATCCGCGACTTTGTGGTGAGTTGCTCAAGCGATTGCATCGACGCAGGAAGAAAATAAGACAAAAGTAATATGCGATAGTTTGTGTCCATGAAATTGCTACTCGTGAGTAGTTAAACTGAACTTCATGACATTTTATCACATGACTTTGCCGCAGGAAGGTGTGGGATCCATGCACGAGTGTCCGGTGAGATGCGATGTTGAACATTGTCAACATGTTTGTTATTTTGTTGGTTTCAGTATCGGTTTAACTTATATTTTTCAATATATCAAAGCATTGTGCACCTTCGTTGCTCTATCATTTTCCAGAATGATATGGGCCAATTTGACGCATTGGTTCTTCGTATGGTCAACAGTGGAAGCGACGGAGGTGAACCCACACAGCTGATCACTTTGGGTAAGTCACAAGACTGTATGAGTGGACCTATATATGGTCACTGGAGCAGACTATAGTGAATTACTTATGAATCACGTGGAGGAACGACCATTGCCGACGCTGATTAAGATAATGAGGTATAGGGATCATAGGACGCACCATTCTTGGTCATCTAGGGGATACAGGCCATCAAGTTAGACCAGAATGCCCATTCGGTGTAATCGATCTTACACCCTCAATCCCAATAAGGCACTGAACTTCACACATCAGCCACCACTGAGGCGACAGGGCATTCACCTTTTCACACCAGGATTATGCGAACAAAAGCGACTGGTTCAAGCTCTCCACTTACGTAGACCCCAAATTGAACATCCACATAACCAACACCACCAGTATCCCGATCAAAATCAATCTCACTCGGACTCAGATACCTAGGGCTTACCCCATCCCTTCCATCTCCCCAGCTCGAATGACCTTTCGACCCAGTGTGGAAATACGTCCACACTAACAATAAACCCTTATATTCTATCAATCGTTTCCCGAAATAAACTTGAACGAAGAACACAACACTGCAAGCAAGCACAATTTAATTCCGGAAACATTTCGTTGCAGCCCAGTTGGTGCTTATACTGCAGAGAATACAAAACAGCTCATATATCACAAGTGTTGATAATCCACCATGCAAGAATGAATTGATAACATGTCAGACTGTCAACATCTGTGTTATATAAACTATTTTGTATTCTACACTATGCACCTACTGAGATGCAGCGAAATGATTTCGAAATTAAATCGTACTCACTTAGTGTTGTGTTGGTTGTTCAAACCATTATATGATCTGTACAGATACGATTATGAATCATTCGAAAATAATTGTTTGCCTTCGGACTTGTGTTCTGATGATGATACAGTTATCAAAATAAACGATAACGTTTCCCCCTATTCCCGTTGCGACAGGAAAACACGAGGGTAACAGAATGACTTTAATTATTCACTCGTAGCTGTAGAGAAACATTGGTTAAAAGAGAGTTGCTGGGATGAGGGAAAGCGGTGAATGATCGGAAATGGATGGCAAATATTCAATCTATAGATCTACACTTTTCGCTGACGAAATATAATGGATATAAAGTACGTAATTGTTCAACCTGTCACCAGTCGGAAACGTCTATCGAATTGACCTTGGTCCCTTTTCCCCTAACCTTTTTCCATTTTCTCTTATTGAACTGGACAAGCATTGTTGTTCCTTCCCATTTAACCTCAATGAACCAATTCCTAGATGAAGTTACAAAAACTTTCTGATTCATTTAAATATCGCATTTTTTATTGTGAGCTTACCCCGTGAATTCAACTACATACCATAAAACCTGTATTGATTTTGTCTGATTCAGATTGTGGCACAGCTTTTGACTTCCACTCCACATTGTCACACTTATTCCTTGTGGCCACTGAAGAAGGTATGGTGTACAAATGTAGTAAGGCATACAGTTCACAGTATTTGGGCAGCTACGAAGCCCATCACATGGCTGTCTATCGTGTGGCTTGGAATCGTTTTCATCCTGACATTTTCATCACATGTTCCGCGGATTGGACAGTCAAAATCTGGGATCATAACAAACCGTGAGTTTGTCAGAGTGAACCTATTTTGCCTCAGAAATTGTCCCGGGGAAGTGAATATAAAATGTCACTTGTTTTCGTATGATGATACTAGAACGAAGCTACCTACAGCGCTAAATACCCTGTTTTAGTATAAGCAAACAATACAAACAATAGGTTGTTTTCCTGAGTAAATATTCAATCCGCAAAGGTTGGCAGCAAAAATGGTATAAGGTCTGTATAACAAGATATACTCCGAAAGACTGCAAATATTCGGGCTTTAATCACCTCAGTACCGTCGACCTCGGGGGGACCTAATCTTGACATAATGCATCAACCCAACCATCCCCTTGCCATTCTGTGTTGACCTCATCTCCATTTAGACGTCCGTGAGTGATGATACATGCTAGTATTATTATTATTATTATTTTCGCTTTGTATAGTTATTCAAAAGATTCTGTAAACTTCCTATAGAGCATGAAAAGCTTTGGCCTTGTTAAATCGGCCATTATAAAACTTCAACTTTGAATTTGAATTTGGTGAAAGGTGAAACAGTTAAAGGACTGGTTTTACCTTGATTCTCATGCATTTTGTACCATAAAAGTGTGAAACGTGGTTACGGTCATTCTTCACTACTCATTTGTTTCCCGACAGAAAAACCAAACAAGCAGTTGAGGTTTTGCTCCTTGGTCACCCTAATAGTCACCAAAGTACGAATGCCAGATGAATTTTTGTCAAATATATTACTCACAAGTGACTGTGAGTCAAATACAGAATATACAAGCAGTCGTGACTGTTTTTTCTCTGACTGGCACATCTCAAATTAACAGAACTTATTTGACTAACTGATCAAGTGAAGATCGTGAAAATGGTACCAGTTTCTGTTCTCGATGGGATTGCAGATATGAACTGAGTGTTGGTATAGGCCAGATTGCACGAGTTCAGTGGTTTCGTTGGAGCAGCGTTACCAGACGAGGCTTATCTTGTTACTTAGGCGTTGTCACAGACTTTGATAAGGCTCAATGACTTTGATGGTTCAGTTTCCATTGTGATCTGACATCAAAAGCATTCCAAAAGTCCACAGTTGCCTGGAATGATTGTCTGGAAAAATTCACGGACTGTATTTCTTTTTCGTTTATTCCTTCACTACTTTCAATCGATAAGTAATGATTGCCAATATTTGGGAAGGGGTAAGCGCCCCATGAAAAGACTGACAGAACAAAACAAGACTGAGAAATATGAGTCAAGCTATTTGTGTAAGAACAAACAGACTCCGAGGCGTCGTGATAACGACCAAGACCGTTTGACTATTGCCACCTATCTATGTAACTTATACTAGTGAGAGTAGCAATGTTAATTCCTTTTCGGTGGAATAAGATTGGACTACCTTCCCGTGTTAAACCTGGCGACAAGTGACGCGCAAAGTCTCGGTTCCATTGCAATGAAAACCAAGACTGTCTCGTGACATGGTACTATTAATGAGAATTAATTAATGACATGATAAAGTATATAAAAATATATATATTATATACAAACCTTGATTCGCGAGGTATCTGGGTTAGGACAGTCGTCAAGGCACTTCCAGATATGAGTGCATCAAATAGGAATATGACAGCGCTTGGCTGTCGAAATACACCTTAAACCAAGGTGGTTCAAAAGCGAACAGCTCACCGCTGTGTCAAAGAGAGAATATGATCAAAGTATACGGAGTCAAACAAAATAAGTCCAGTCAGGCAGTGACATGAAGCTCCCAAAAGATGAGCCAATCGTCAGAGAGTTGGGCGCACACAATTCGACCTCTTAACAAACAACGGCAGGCATGCATGTATGTGTGTGTGAGTACATGAACAGGGGACTCCCGAGGAGCCATCAAAACAGGTCATGTGCGTAGGTGGTTAAATAATCGATAATGACAAGCGGTGAACCGGTACAGAACAAGGGTAGACAGAACATAGGTCAACCAATAGTAAGGGACAATGGAGGTCACAAGAGAAGTCGTGTGGTGGAAGTCATCCGAGTGAAAGGTGTATCTGTGCCTGCATGTCCATTGACGTGCCAGAGACTGGGAGAACTTAGCACTCGCTTATGTAAGAAATCGATAACCAGAACGAAACGAATGTCGATGGGACAAATAGGAAGCGATAGAGCGGGCAATGAATCGGAAAAAAACAAAATGATTCTGAAAATAAGAACCAACAAGCAATAAGTTACTTATTGAAATTATAAACAATATTCCACAGCCGGAGAAAGGCTGCATCAATCCACGAATACCAGGCGAAATCAATAAGCTGATTGTTAATGACTTTGCCCTGGTTTCTGCCGAGGTATGCCGGCATTCAGGTTGGAGCCCCGAAAGAATTGGTTCGTTCTTGGCTAAGGGACATGTCATTCAGTGATTTGAATTTCACTACTTAAAGCTGTTTTCAAATGTTCAAGTACTAAACCCGGGAAAAAATAAAAAGTAATAGTTGAGGGCAGTGAGCAATAGTAATTATGTGGCACCTACACGATCAGCAGGTACCATATGTGAAGGCTAAACTAGCATTATCACAGGCTAAATAACCAGAGAGAAACAGGCCTAAATCACAAAGACAGAAATTTGAGGTCGAACAGAGTTAGGCACCCATTGTCTCGTTCAGAATCACCACAGTTTACTAACAAATGCAAGGGTATTAAAATGCACCCGTTCATCCTCAAGCACATTAAGAGCCAAGCTTATATTGAACAAATCATTCCGAAAATAGCTTCCTCGAATCACCAAATCATCTCAACTGATAACGCTTCCACCGCCTCCCGACACTGGTAATTTCCAGTTAAATAACCGCGTGACACAATATCAGATCTAAATTTGGAACGGATGTTATTGAAGTAATTGTGCGTCATGCTCATAGTATTAGTATTTGGTGACGACTTCACCAAAAAATAAACTCATTTTTTGGGTTTTCATCGTCGTGGCTAATCCAAACGTTTTCCTTCATGGATCTAATAAATAACCTCGTGATTTCTTACCATTTGGATGTTGCACTTTAGTCCGACTATTGTCATTTTTTATGACCTTGACCGAATAAACTTTATAAGTGCGCTCAGCGAATAAGGGACGTTTATGTGCACATAACTAACAGCAAAAACAATATGCACTAACCGGATGAGCATAATTAATTCCTGTGGCAATTTGCGTGACAAAGAAATACATTACGGAGGGTCAATCGTCTATTGATACTCCTAATCCCACTGGTTAATTATCAACGAAAATCCCATCGGATATTTGGTAATCAGTTCAGTTTGTACAACCATTAGGCATGCACCTTTGTGAATGTTGGGTGTTGTCTTTTGACCGCCCATTCGGATGAACCGTAGGGGAAAGTCAAGAAAGTTGAATTTATAGTCAAATAGAAAATGGAGAATTTTAGTGAACTAATGTTGCAAAGAAATTGAGAAGATGCACGAATGCCACTGTTTACGACACTCAGTAATAGCACTCAGTGTCTCCAACCATCAGTTACGGTCATCCCGAGGTCCCCAGCTAGGGAACTGAACGGGAACTATGTGACCCAGACCCCTGGTTAGGGTTTTCATACCCTCGTGCCAGGTCTTAGCATGACAACCCTTGGCTTTTTTCACCCACTACCTACCTTGGCAAACATCGCTTGCCGTGGCAACCCATTTGGTGACATGCGTAACACATGCCCCAACCAATATAATCTATGACAGTCGACTACTTGCTCCAGAGGGCAACCGCGGATACCCAAAACTCTGCGCCTAACCTCAGCATTGCTCGTCCGTGTGTCCCTGACATCAGTTTCGTGCTATGCTGCGTAGACAGCGGTGTTCAAACACCCACAGTCTATCTTTATCCTGTTTTTTTAATGGTCAAGTTTCTGCACCGTATAGGAGAACTGGCTGAACTGCCGCGACGGTACTACAGATGTAATAGACAATGTCGAACCAAAAATGCAAACTTTCCCGCATGCCCTTTACTCCGATCCTCACCCTAGCCACAACACCTAGTGGTTGACACAGTCAACTACTTTAAGAAAATCCGGCAGCCCGAGGAAACGCATTTCAGAATTCGCATAGATTCAAGTCCACAGTTCTCGAATGAACAGTTTCCATAT